ACCGGTTGCGGCCGGCGAAGAAGCAGGTGGCAAATTCTGGCTTTCCCGAACCCATCTCTAGTGCCGAGCGGCCGCGCTCGGCAGTGACTAAACAGAAAACTTGCCTTGGGGAATACTCTGCTGCTTGCGGTGCTTCTCCGGTCTATCTTCCCCCCCCTTGTTTTCAGGGAGGTTTGTTTCTGAAATGCAGTGGTGATCTTGTCAGGTCTGCCCGTTTTTAATAATCTGTCATTGATGTCACCCTAAATTCCTTTTAAAAATCAGCAACGGCGTTGTGTTCCCGTTCTGAGCATGTGCTGGCTGAGGATAAGCATGATTTGTGCGCAGTTTCTTTCTTAGAACTGTTTAAGGAGATAATCCCGTAAAGGTCTCTGCAGCTGGTTTGCTGCTAATGAGCCTTGGAGGGCTCATTCGTGTTGTGGATGCGGAGGAACTCCGGGGCATGCTCACTGGAGTTTGATGCTGCCGACAAAGTTGCTTGTCTTCTGCGAAAGCGCTAACACGAGGGATCTGTGCGGGAGATGAGTCAGAGGAACAAGAGCCCGCGGTTGTGCTCGTGCCCGTTCGCGTTTGGCTGCAGAGGGAGAGGGTTACGTTATGTGCGTGGGCACCTGAAGGATTTCAGCCTTCCACTGGCTGAATTGTTAAAAAGAAATAGATGTATTTTAGTTCTTTTGTAAAAAGACTGTTATGGTTTCTTCAGGAACAAAGCCTGGCGGGTCGCGGTTGGTTGTTTCCAGAGAGCTGTGTAGGACATCCCCGAATTGCAGGAGCGTCTGGAAAGGGACTCGATTATTGGACTTGTTCGCCTGCGCCGCGGTTGTAGCTGGTCGTGGTGACACTGGAGGTTTGCTCACAGGAAAGCGCGCCTACGTTTTGATTTTGTGGAAGCCTGCAGGAGATTTCTTTTGGGGGGGTTATCGACGTTGGTTGGATTGTACGAGATCCGTCGGTGTGGACGAGCCCACGCTGCGCAGATTCCCTCCGTCGTCGTGTGCAGTGTAACCTCGGACTTACTGTTGATAGCAAATAGAGTGTTTCCATTAAAGTGTCACAGAATATTTGTAGTCCCTCTCAAGTCCTTTCACGAGTTAGACAAAATTTATGTCTCCTAATTGCATTAGGCTCAGAGGGGAACGCTGACATTTTAAATTAAAGCACATTGACGTTGCACCCAGATGAATTGCCTAACCTTTGCGTGCTTGCTCAGGAAAAGATGTTATGGGTTACTAGTTAACTCTCGGTTATTCATTAGGAAATTTAGATGCGGTGAGTAAGTATTTTTGATAATGCTATCATAACCTTTGCTGCTTGGTGTGGGTGGGTTGTCAGCAGCGTTTTGTTTATTTCCTCGTAAAGCATAACTAATGCTAACAGCGCCCTTGGTGAAGACCTGAGCAGAGAAGAAGTATTTGAGACGGCCCCGTTCACGTTTGTGGAAGCATCTGCTGTGGGCTAAAACAGTCAGGAATAGAAAATCCAATAAAGATTCTCATTCTGTGACATCAGTCAACTTATTAATAACAAGTTTTTCTAACCTGGTCAGGAGGGAAGAAATATGCTTCCCCAGTGTCTGTGGGGAAAAAAAAAGAGTTTCTTTTGAGGCAAGCTGTTGTTTTCCTTCACAGTAAAAGGTGTGCAGTTCAAACATTTCTGTGAAGGTCTCTTATTTAGTACTTGGATGTAAAGTAAATAAGGGCTGGATGTTAGAAGAAGTGGGTTTTCTTTCAGGGTACGTGAAGCAGGAAAGCACAGGCCGCTTTGCAGCTTGAGGCTTAGTCAAACCTGTAAGGATGACTTCATCACTGTGGATTTTCACTTCTCTTCCAGGGTTTGGCCCGTTTGGAGAGCACGCTGTTAACGCCAGTTGGATTGCAGTTCAGGTAACACGGTAACTTCGTTCTTAACAGGTTAAAACAGAGCGCCGTGCCGATAGCGTATCTGTACAAATTTTAGTTTGCATCTCTTTTATAACTTGCCTTCCCGGTTTATTAACTGAGACCAGCTCGCTCCAGATATCCAGATGGTCAGCTGGATAATGTTTTATTCACTCCTCGGAAAACAATCCCTTAGCTAGTAGAATTTAATGAGATTGAGTTAGTGTGGCAAAGGCAAGTAAGGAATTCGTAGGTTTGAAAGACGTTAAATGGGGCAGGGAGCCTGGAATCTTCCTCTGCCACAGAGAATTCAAAACAAATAAACAAACCAAGAAGAAT